ATTAATAATTTAAACTCTAAGTCATATACTCTCTTGTATTCAATGCAAAAGCAATTCATTCTGAGTTCAAAAATTATATGGTTTTATGTAATTTAAGTTTTTAATTATATCTTTTAATTATTAAAAATAAACATTTATTCAAAATAAATAGCTTTTGTTTTTTGTTGATAAATACTCTCTGCGATCACTTGAGCCGGAGTTGATTCTTCATTGTTGTGATTTTGTCGGCCAGTAATCGATTGGTTGGCCCGCATCTGCTCGACACGTAGTCCAGCGCTTCCACGTCTTTGGCCTCGAATGCAAACTTCGCCGCGTCTTCTAAAAGGCTGTGATTTAATGAACAATTAATTAATTATACGAATTATTAGTTCATTGTTATGACAAATAATACCCGCATTTGACATAATATTTGATTTTATTTTCTTCGTTTATTTTGAGTAAATATTTCTGCGCTTCGTATCGATTGCGGTGTTCGAGACATATGTCCACAAATGGCTATACGTTTGCAAATAGAGATATATTTATTGAATGACAATATAATGGTATGAATGGATGGCTTACTTCGTAACCAATCGGCGATTTCTTAATTTTACTAAACTTTTCCAATTCGAGGAATTCCGCGGTTTCGGCCAAAATAGTCATCTTTAGCCACCAATACCTACGATCTCCTACTTTGAACTCCTTCTTCAGTTCTTCGCTGAGTTTGTATTCCTTATCAATAATCAGTTGTTTCATAGTTTGATGCAAAGAAAGGCTGAGATATTTGCGATGAAATTTCTCCTCTAATTTGATTTGATATTTATTTAGACGAATGTTTTCGTCAATCATTGAGGCATTGAATTCATTTCTGGACTTTTTGAACGAATCATAGGCTGACTGTAAATAACTCTGTTTTTGTGTCACATTATTAGACGTGAGACTACGGCTGAGCCACGAGTTGGCCTCAGAGGCGAAGTCGTCTTCTTGATAGTAAAGGTCTGTTAACTTTTCGGTCTCTTCTTCTCTGCAATACTGGTTCGGTTCAAACATATGAGAAATGTCTAGAGTTTTAATCATTTTGAATACCTTTTGGTAGAGAGAATACGCGATCGGATAGTCTCTGATAGTCATTAGGAACTCTCCGGCAGACAATGCTTCGCGCAATCGTATGATAACCGTATGGACGAGGTTTGTGTCGCCGCTCTCTATAGCCCTTTGTGGTAGAGAGAATACGCGATCGGATAGTCTCTGATAGTCATTAGGAACTCTCCGGCAGACAATGCTTCGCGCAATCGTATGATAACCGTATGGACGAGGTTTGTGTCGCCGCTCTCTATAGCCCTTTGAAGCGCCAGTCGGTGTTGTTTGAGCTTAAGAAGGAGCGGCACCTGTTGGCTCGACCGCAGCTCGTGATCTAACAGCTTAATGGCCAGTTGTGTTCGCCCGTTGTCTATAGCTTTGTCGGCAATCTCTGAATACGGGACACCAGAACTGTAGCCCAACTTATTGAAGATATCACGTGCTGTGCGCTCGTCGTCCGAAACTCGTTGTTTCACTTTAAGCAAAGCCCAGTTCCCGAGCACTCGGGCCGCGCCCTTCTCTTCACTCATCTTCAGGTACGACGCGATTCGAAGGGCTAAACAAAAGTGACGCCGAAGTATGAGACGATCGATCAGTACTTCCACTGTCAACACTTCCAACTGATTCCAACTCAAAGGGATTCCGATCGAGTGGTGTCTTATAGCGTTCAAAATACGCAATGTTTGACACATTTGGACAAAAGGTTTGGATTCCATGTGAGGGACGAAACACTTGCCGAAAGAGGCGGCTCTCATCAGCATCTTCTGAGTGCTGATCCCATACTCATGTCCGGCAGCTCTGATGCACTGCTGAACAGATGTCTCCATTTCTTTGCGCTCCTGAATCATACGAATGTATTCATCGGCTCTATGGCTGTGGCGCTGAAACTCTTTGTTCGCCTCCAAGAGTAGAGCGCCCGGAGCTATGGATCCGATGCCAAATATGTCGACCACAACGGGTGACACTTTGTGTAAGAATTCCTGCATATAGTTACCGATGATGCGAATGCCGTCTATCTCTTCGACCATATGGACGGGTTGGTCGACAACATAGTTGAGCCAATCCTTGTCCGGTCCCACGACTAGCAAAATGTTTTTCCAGAGACCGACGACCGCTGAGTTGCCGCACCACAGAAGCTGTTGCGGTCGCGCTTTGGCCTTAGTGTCAAACTCGCAGTATTTATGCGTTAAATCATTGTCCGCGCGGCCCATCCATAGAGACCCGCTGTCTGTCAGTAGAGATATATGACTGGAATCGTATGAAACACTCATTTCTGTGATGGCAGTGAACGGCGCGCTAATCGCTGGAGTGATCAGTTGGCAGCTCTGGGCGTTAGCATTCAGTGAATACAACTCGTTGTCTTTGGCCACCAAAACGATTGTCTCGCTATTGGAGGCAACTATTGTCCAACACTGAGGACTCTTTGTGAGACCGGGAACTTCGGCTAATCGTCTGATTTTAGGATCGCTTATATTATTCAATATGAAAAACCGATGAGAAGTGGTTAGGACTGCAATACCCGTGCCGTGAATGCCGTTAAATGTCTTGCACTCCAAGACTTTAGTGTCGCGTATTTCCTGATCCAAAGTGAATGTGTTTTGCAAATTGGCGTAAATGTCGTAAACGGAGACAATTCCGTCGTCTTGTATGCAAAGCAGGTCTTCGCGATTGGACCACGAAATCAGTGACAACTCATTGCCCTTCCATTTGATGGTCGATATGATTGATCCCAACGACGAGAAGATAAATATATTAAATTGATTTGGTTTTAGACTAGTGTTGCCATTAGTGCCCAATCGGCTCCAGTTCTTCCTCTCAATCAAAGCTAATATACAGAGAAATGTCATTACAAGTGAGATATGGCTCAAGACATGGCGTGAGACAAACCAATTGGACCGCCAAATGGGGCCGAAGTGATGATGAAGTCCTTGAGGTCGACATCATTGGTCCAAAACATTGAATTCAATTCAAACTTTCGGTAATAAATATCTTTTCCCAAAGGATTCCAATCGGAGGTAAACAATGCCATCGTTTGCATGTGTTATCTCTTTAACGGATCCAATAGTGGGAGGAATGTGTCATCACTTCATCAATCATTCACTCATAACCACAATATTCTTCACATCAAGTGATTGTCAAAACAAATGACATTTAATTGTAAATCAATTGTTAATTCAAATACTAATTCAATGCAAATATTTAATCATTGATTGCTTTAAAACTTTTTAATCAAAATTAAAATCTCATCAAAAATTGTGTAAACATTTTGTTTGTGAAAATTACGTCAATTTTGTTCAACAAATTCACGCATTCTTTGAAAGAAATTCTTTAGATTCTTATTATAAGTTTTAATTAGAATTAATTATTATTTATAATATTATTTAATTTATATTTTATTTGCCTTATATTTATTGTTTATAATTAAATGAAAGTTATATTAATTTATATTTAAATCTAATTAATATAATATAATTTGCATCAAATTATGCGACAATTGGGTGAACGTAAGCCCTCTTTAACAGAGGTTTAAACGTTATGAACAAACTATTCATTAAATACTGTATTAATATCGAAATTGATTACAAATAGATTTAACAATTAATTTTCAAATTTCTATTGTTAAATAAAATATACAATTAAATTACGTTTTTTCCCACGTACTGTATTTACTGTTAAATTGACATAAAGTCAACTATTCTCAAATTATTTATACAGATTCTTTATGTTAAATTAATATTTTAAAAATCATCTTGTATAACTACCATGCTTAAATTACGACTTAAAATTACTTGTGTATTTAAAATATTAAAAGTTGAGTGCGGGTGAAGTGCGAGTGGGAATCACTCGTCACTGTCACACGTTTTGGGCACTAAATGGGAGTCCCGTTATGTGAGGGATGTGTGCATTGGGGCCGACGCTCACCAAAGAGTCAATGTATTTGTGTTGACGTGATTTGTGTTGGGATTGACTCGACATTCGCAGAGAGTTTACACAACATTAGTATTAATTGTGCTTTAATTAGCATTTGGTCTCCAATTGAGAAACAAGTGTTGAGTTTGTCTTTCAATCCATTGATTAACCAGAGATCTGATCGCAGTATTGAGTGAACGATGACTAAAATGATGCCCAGTTTCTCGGCCGCGGGTCTCCGCAAGAACCCATCGGTTAGTGTTTTACATGACCTCTAAATGCAGTTAATGTAATATTTTGTCTCTTTTGCCAACAGTTGATCCCATTATTCTTCTTCGCGGGTTTGGG